CCCACCAACCCATCCATCCATTGATCCATCCATGCAAAAGGCATCACATTTATATGACCTATCCAATGAGTTGAGACTCAATAACATGGCCAATTAATCTGCTGTGATAATATGCAGCTTGGCTTGTTAAGATTTTGAGGTCTATATAACAATTAAATTATTGTGCCAGTAAATAATTTCAGCAATTCTTGTAATAATTTTTATATAACATTTTCCTGAAATATAAATGTAAATTATTTGTTATATACAGCTATGATAAAGTTCATATTATGTTATCTATAATATAAAATTATTTGATTTTCTTGAAGAAAAAAACAAAATTGCACAAGATCACACAGGTTGATCAATATAGTTTATTAACATTTTCAGAAAGTTGCTGAAACATTGTTATTGATTCTTCATTAGTTAATTTTTTTTAAATTTACAACACAGTGTTGAATTCTGTACTTAAGATAATAAAATAATGTGTCAAGGACCATTTTTTTGAAAAATTAAAAAAGGTCAAATATATGGTAGTTTTAATTTTAATTTGCCCTATACGAGTATATGGGCAATGGAACATGCACGTTCATCAAACTATATTGATCTACGTTAATATAAATACATTATTTACCTGTACAAGACCTCGTTCCACAGCTATTGTATTGATATGTCGTGTAAACTGTTTATCAGCCGTGAGATAGACGATATCCGGCATGCTAAGATTCATTACCACAATTATACACTTCATGTTTAGAGCTAGTGATGTATAGACTGCTTAATACTTGGATATGGTCAGGTGACAGACTCAGGTCACTATAGCAACTCTCAGTTCATGTATAGATTACTCTCAATTGTCTATGAACAGTGATCGACATGGTGCAAATGTATGGCCATTCACCAGCTAGAAATTTAAAATATAATTTATTTAAATCATAATCAATTCTCCAAACTAATATTAATTTTGTATTCATATTACTTTATACTAATATGAGGTTATCATGAAAATATCGCAAAGTATGCATGAAGGTACATGTGTAGTACATGTAATAGTATCGACCGAATCGTAGCAGAAATTGATGCGACCCATACCACCTGAGTGCATACTTTGCAGTATTCTCGCGATAACCTCATTATTATATATCTTTTTCCTGGTTGTTGTAATAGTTTATTGGGAGATTATAACCTGAAATGACATTAAAAACATTTCGTGCTGTGTGAACATTTGCGTGAATGACAAGACTCTGTTTCTATCACATGATATAGTGCTTCTGCATCCAATGTAAAAAAAGGAAATTAAATGTGTATGCCTGGTTAATGTGAATCAAACATACATGGATAACACAGCACATGTCACCATCAATATAAAAAACAAATACTGTAGAATACTTTATTTTCGCTTGAAATTAATTTTCGCTGAAGAGATGATTCAGTGAAAATAAAATCCAGCGAATATACATTTTTTTCCTATGTCTCACATTCAACTTGTCAAACATCAGTGAGAATAAATTTCAAACAAAACACTTAAAAAGGGTTTTCAGCAAAAATTAATTCCAGCTAAAATAAAGTATTCTACAGTACCCGATGTTTTTGTCACATGACCAAATCTGATTACTAATTGGATGCTTATAAGCACATTGAAGGATGCCAACTAGAAGTTATGACTGTATTTTTTGAAAACAGACAAATTTTACACAGTTTATGTGATATTTTCAAATAAACGTTCAGTCAGTTTTATGAATTAGTGTCAAAACATCATGTAAATAATTATTTGGTTCAAAATTCTAATATAACATTGATAAATAAATAAAAAAATACTTTATTTCTTCTTCACATAGTTTTAGTGTGCATAGGATGAAGTTTAACAATAATATTGTGAATGCATTTATTATACCATATACGTCAGAGAAATTACACACTAAAAGTGACAACCGTGAATGCACCATGGTCATATATAAATAAATCAGTATGTTTATAATTACATTTTAATCTGTAATTGATTGAAGTGTCATCAAATAAACAGATGTATTAGATAGGCAGCACAATTAATTCATGCACCAAAAAAATAACATTTATTTTGCATACACATGTTTAAGTACCGTTAGTTCCAGAATAGGTTCTCTAAGGCTCCCTCACCCCTGACCTGAATCTTAACTCTCCAGCCCCACACTTAGCCTGACGAGGTCGCGTGAGTTGCGCCCTCCACTGTGCTCAAAACCCAACAGTGAGGTGAGGTCTGGTGTCGTTCAACCGGCGAGGGCCTACATGTCAGGGTACTGGAGGGACATCGTTAGGATTCGAATTTATATGCGTGAGGGGAGCCTAAAGAACTATGTAAACAAAGTCCATGACGAAACTCGAGAATTATATCACACTCGCAGAAACACCACCTGCTCTGTCGAGCGACTTAGCTGCGGTTCCGTAGCTCTTTGGTGCGACCTACAATCTAATTTCGCCCTAACAATTTCATTTGAACGTCTTTTTTTTAATTTTGTTGTTGTACGTCGAACATAGACACCCACTATGGGCCGGCCAGAGTCAGTCACGTAAATAATGCGGTCGGCAACATAGGGCTATGATTCCACAGCTATCGAGCGACTGTGATTTGAAGCATTGTCATCATGTTTGTTCACTCGGACTTACCATCAACTTCCGGTTTGTGTTTTTTTCACTATACTATTGTAGGACATAACATGTGTTAACTCCTCCGTCGTCATTGAAACCTGGTTACGTCATCAAGATCTAAAATTGAGCCGTAACTTCTCGTTAAACTTCCTCAAATTGATAATCGCTGTGCCTCTGCATACTTTGCCTATGACCTTTGACCTTGGGGCAGCAAATATAGTAGCCTGAGGTGGCGTTGTTTAGTATCCTGCTAACAGGAAAATCGACTGGAATTGGAGCAAAAATCACGGGAACTTATAACAGGAGTTTCGAGTTGAATTTGAATTACTTTAAAATGTTCTATTTTAGCTGGAAATAATTTTCGCCGGAAAGCCTTTTGGATGTTTTACATAGAGTTTCTTTGCACTGAATGTTTGATGCATTGAATGCAAAAAAGTATAATCACTGGATTTTATTTTTACTGAATCATTGCTTTAGTGAAAAATAATATAACCATGCACTGTAAAAAGGGAAAATATTCACTGGGTTTAAATTTAACTTATCATATGTTGTGGGATATTTTAAATTCACTGATATTTAAACAAAAACAATAAATTCAATGTCAAGTGAAAATATTTTAAGGTATAACAATACAGAAACCTGAAGAGTATGAATATTATGTATTTAAAACAACTATATCGTTTTATTGACATGGCAATTTCACAATATGTTACAAAACAGTAAATACTCGCATAAAACAATGCCTTTATATTAGGTCTGGATTACATTCCAATACCAGGATGTACAACTCCAGCAAAAAAAAAACAACAACAACACACCATACAACGGTACTCAAAAGAATCCCAACACAAAATATTACGGATGAAAAATAAAGAACAACAAAAAGTATAACAAATAGTATATACTTTTTGAAGATATCTAATTTATTCACTATATCGTTAATTGTATTTTTGTAAATTAAACTGTGAATTGACATAGGCCAACTCGGGTCTTTGATGACGAAAAATGTATCGGTAAATTAAACTGTTATTTGACTCTATTCACTAAATTATGTATGAAGCGCGACAGACCTGGTGATGCCTTAATGAATATGACATCAGTGTCGTGTTGCGTTCCATTGGGTTGGGTAAAAATCTGGTCGCGCCACGCATGCGCGAGATATATGGGTCGCATATAAACAAAGATGGTGTCTTTGACTGTTGTGCAGACCAAAGAGTACAAACTGAGATGTTACCATGCTTTAATGGGGTAATTTTTGGTGATTGGAAGATATCTAAGGAGCCACCGGCGGTAAACCTCATACTTGATATTCCATTAGATAAGCGCATTGCATTGTTGGAAAATCAATGTTTATTAACACGAATGTCGAACATGCGCAGCGCGACGACCACCGCTCTTTAAGCTCTACAAATAACTGATATCAGGTTAAAACCTGTTTTATCGCATATCCTGAACACCATGCATGACATTAACAGTTACTTATTAACATTCGTAGCATATGTTACTAATATGTTCCACAAGTCTAATTAAGGTAGAAGCCTACTCATAATTTTTGAGAAAATTGGTCATAAATCACATGACAATGTTTTTTTGTTTATTGTGTAGAATCATGAAGCTATTGACCCATGGCACCATGAAATAGCATTCTACACACATTTACTAACGTTTAAGACAATTAAAACATTTTTTACTAACAACTTCTGAACTCAGAGGATCTATATAAGATGAACTAGTCCGTTTGCGATCACAACCCTGTTAAGTGTTCAATCATCCATTGTATTTTCTGCATCTGTGAAAATAAGTAAGTTGGGTGAATTATGGTTGTGATAACTATTTAGAATAAGTAAGTAACATACTGCACTCCACTGTTTACAGCAATTCCAGGCACTGATTTGACGCTGAAGTAGTGCTAGATGTTGATAACTTACTACAATAGGTTACACACTTTGTTTTCACATTTACAGAAGTTGTTACAAATATAGTGCAGACAGCATGTCTGCAATTTGAAGCGCACCGGAAGAAACTTTTTGGGGCGGAGCTTTCTTAAATTGAAAACAAAGT